AAGAGTACAGAGTAAAGGGGCAGTGGTTGGCATATTGGAGCTGGTCAGGTGGCACAGTGCCTCCAAATTTGAGTCTGAGATACTATGATTTTCTGTTTACTGTATCACCACTGCACTTATGCACTGCTGTCACTACCACTCATCATGTACCAGTATAACATAAAGAAACAAGAAAAACAGAAATACCATCAACGTTCACAAGTTCTGGAGCCTGATGTGTATGGAACATAAGTGAACACAGAAATGAATGTGTGGCAGCTCATGAAGCCAGCTGTGTCTTGTATGATCACCTAAACCATAGTGTACCAGATTAGTATGATACTGTTTGATCCAATCTGTAAAATTTTGTATATGTACACTTGCTCCAAAAAGTATCTTCACAGAGAGGTCCAATGAGTTCCACAATGAACACTGTGACTCCTGTTGTCTCGGTAGGGTTGTCAAAATCCTCCGTCCGTTGTGTCACATTGTCTCACACAAAATTGTAAAGGTACTTTTTGGAGTGAGTGTACAGTATAATATGTGGATTTTGGGGGGAAAGTTTGAAGGAACTATGTGGTGTTGATACAAATTAAGTAAATAGACCAATTTTGCAAAAATTGGTACACAATATTTTAAAATCTTGCAATTTTACCTCCCAAAAGTATGTGTAGGCCAGATAGGGTCCAGTATACCCAGATTTCTGGTTAAATTAAGTAGGGATTTATTGAGTCCTACAAAAACTTAAAAATTACAATTGAAATTCATAGACAAATAGAGTACAGCGCGTTCTGTTATAACGCGTGTTTTGACAACGCGAATTGGCTCTAACGCGATTTATGAATAGAGGAACGATATTTGTATAACGCGAACGCTTGTTTGCTGTAACGCAATTTTTGCTTACTATTTCTCCAATTTTGTGGTATTAACTGTGAGTATGGTAAAGAAGAATATCTCCAAGAAGCGTTCTGGTGATCTTATTCCCGGTGATAATCGTAAAAGAAAGGCTATAACACTTGAAGAGAAGATCGATGTTATCAACCTCAAAATCAACCTTCTCCCCCATCAAGTTATATTCATATTTTTTCAAGGTAAAGTGTTACATTTACTGTATGATTTCATTATTAGATATGAATGTAACATTTATTTAGACTGTGCTATCCTTTGTGTTAGGCTAACTACTAAATTTTTTTCGATTTCGAGTAGTAATCTGCACCTAACCCTATTTTCTCCATAAGCCCTGTTATTTCTATTACGCGAATTTCTATAACACGATGTGTTACAAGAACACAACTATCGCGTTATAGCAGAACTGACTGTACAGTAACATCTTTGAATGAGTAAACATTTTAATTACTGTAATGGGATTTTTTTTAATGGGATCGCATCATCTCAATAAAACAATAAAATCTGGGATAATATTTCATCAAACTGAAATTATTTCCTTTACTTCCCACACATCTGAAGCAGCAGTGTATTACCAGCTGGTAAGTCAGCCTCCACCCACACTAACCTCACTACTACAGGCGGCTGTGATGGAAGTAAACAATTTGGTGGGGGTCTTGGCTCCTCTAATAGCATCATCTTGCACATTAACATAATTTCTTGTCATGAATTTTCCCCAGATAATTTAAACCTTAGACATAAGTATAAATGTACAACCTCATTAAGGCGACTTAAAACTCAGATTATTCTTTAATATATTTCATCAACATATCATTATTGACACAAAAGGTATAATTACCATAAATTTAGATGTACAGTAGCTAAAACAACTATCTGTGCTTACTTTGTGGGAAACAATATGAAACCATGGATAATAAATTTTGGTATATGAGGACTGTCACGAGTCACACGTAAAATTTTGGAGCATATCGACCCCCACCTGCACAGATAGTAGTTGTTTTAGCTCCTGTGCCTGTAATTTTCAATGAAAATATTTTCCTTTCTACTTTGCTGGACCCTCAACACCATTCATCCCATTATTTATTTGAGAATTTACAATAACCTATACAGTACAGTACTATTAAAATGGATTGGGGCAAGATGAATGGTACAGTAACTAGAATTACCCAGACGTGGGGATGATTCACAAGAGCTCCACTAATACCATATTGTGTACTGTGTTTATCAACATAAACAAGTGCTACATAATGATATGAATTATTAAGCCTAAATGGCAGTATTTTAACAAGTTACCAAAGAGACACAGGTCAACCAACATAAGACATTCTAAGTGTTTCTAACTGTTTTATATTTAACTTAATACTCTACTGTTTATTGTTTGTTTTTTCTTGCTGGCTGTGGAAACCATCATTGAGCAAGTAGAAATATTTCAGTGAAGAGGCCACCTGAGTGTTCAGTAGGCCACTAAATTTTAAATTATTTTGCTTCAAGAAATATAGCTACACAATACAGTACTATCTCGGTATAAAGTGATCTGATACTGTACAATGATTTCCACATACCTGTACTGAGGTTCTCTAAATTATACTCCACACTTTTGTTATTGTGTTGTGTAAGCTCAGAGTTCTGAGAAAAAAATTGCATAGAAATCCAGAATGATGTTAATATTCAAGATTCACTTTGAAAGAAGCTCTTTGATAATCATTATATAATAAAAAAAAATATTTGGAGGACAAAAATGTAAATACCAGAAATTATGTTAAAGGTGAGTGTACTGTAAGTCTTGAGTGATAGCCACATGTTCCTCCTCTTAAACACATCCACATTAAATTATCACTTCCTCGTCTCTTCAGTACACAACATTTGTTCACTCTTTCTGTGATCATATTTCACATAGTCATTATTTACAGTGTGTGTGAGTGACCTGTGTAGATACATGGAGTGGTGTAGAGTTGGCCAGGCATTGAGGTGGTCTGCTGGTGAATCATGTCGGGTGAAATAAAAATCTTAAAAGAATTTTATGTTGTATTTTGTGGGGCTGTGGTCCTGTACCCTAAATTTCCTAACGAAATATGGAGAACAATACAGTATACAGTAATGCAACTTTATATTTTTAGCAAATTTGGCCCACCATAACAAATGAGATTGACACCTCTACTCTAGAAAGTACCAGAAAATGTGCCAGTATGAGTCAATTCTGGGCTTAGAAGAACTCACATTCAGTGCTGTTACAGTAGGTCGGGATATATCGCGACTTTATATAACGATTATTTTATATCACGACTACCAAAATTATCGACATTTTCCGACATACTGTATAGCAATAATCTTTTTTATTTCGCGAGGGAAATGAGGCAGGAAATATTTCAAATGTACCGCCATGGCAAATAAATGCATTATTTGCTCACCAGAGGCACCACCGTGGCTGTTCACTCACTCATTCCCGCTCGCCCGCTCAGTCTTTCTGAGTGAGTGACGTGAAAAGTGAAGTGAAGAAAATGGAAGCTTAATAGAAAAGATTTAATACTGTAACTAATATTTTTGGTGTTCGTTTATGTAGGTGTGGGATTGTCAAGTGAGGGTGGCAGTGTGGCGTCTACAGCCGAGTCTGGTGTTCCTTGATACTGACATTGAAACAGCCTGTTGTTCCCTAGTCTTGTGTTCATTGGTGCTTTAGTTAGTAAGAAAATAAACTCATTAAGTCAAGTTTAATCACCTTTATTGGCCTCCAGAACCTAACCCTATTTTCCCCATTGATTACATGTAATTATATATCGCAATGTATTATAAGGTGAACATCGTTGGATCTTACCTCGCGATATATCCCGACCCTACTGTACAACATTCTCTGGCAAGTTATTCCCAAAGTTAACAACTCTTAATCCAAAGAAGTTAGTTCTGAAAGTTTCCTGTGACTTATGTCTTCTTTAACTTGAGGTTGTGAGCGTTAGTATAAGAAAACCATTAAATATATTTTTCACGTAGCATTGCGGAAGATTCACTAGACCCGAAGTAGTGAGTTATAATTTGTTAGACAGCGTTTTATAATGATGAGAATTATGTTATAGTGAGAAGAGGTGGTGTCTGGAGGAGTTTTTTTGGTGTATGGTATATTTTGGGGCTGCTGTCCTATACCATATATTTCCCACTGAAATACACACAATAATATGACACAATTCAATATTGCACAACAAATCTCTGTCCCACTCTTGCATTATATTAAGAATCTACTGCATACCAGATTGTTTTTAAAACCTGTGTTTCATAAAACACTCACATGGTTATAAGTAATATATACTATATCAAGATTTCATATACCTGAGGAATACTTATTGTAAGATGAAGAGTAATTTCAAGTACTGTATTAACAAAATAAAATGCACCAAGACCTGTGATAACATAACCTCTTCAATTAAGTCAAGGTGGAAACCAAGAAAAGGTGTCTTCGACATCCATGCTAATGAAAAATGCTAAAAGGAAGATAATGTACCTAATCCCTATGAAATACAGGTACTGTACCCTATTTTTGAACAATATTCGTTGATCACTTTTAAAAAATGCAATTTTACATTAAAATATGTTCATTATAAACCAGATTTAGGGCTTTAATGCAAAACTAAGGGAAGTCCCATAGCAGGGCACATCACTTATGGCATAAAGAGTGAATGAATGACAATGAATTAAGGGAAAATGAGAATATATGTTACAGTCTGTGCTGGCCAAGCACCAGGCTGGGCCACTGCTATCTGCGACAGTACATATATATATATATATATATATATATATATATATATATATATATATATATATATATATATATATATATATATATATATATATATATATATATATATATATATATATATATATATATATATATATATATATATATATATATATATATATATATATATACACACACACACATACAGTATAATACAGTACAGTAGTGGATATATGTAAACATTTACCTTGACATTTTGCTTTGCATTAATTTAATTTATTAATGCATATCGAACTTTTGGCAATCCTTTATAAATATACAGTACTTTACTACTGTAGACATCATCACAACCATGGTGTGCTTGACTTCTAAATAACTAAAACACAAAGCCTTTTGCTTAAGGATATATTTATTGTTCTTTTTTCCAAACAAAGCCATTATTTGAAGGTGAATCAAAGAGGTTATTATGAAAGGCGCACCACCACTATCATCACATACAGTACATAATAGAATAAGACCTGGTTTACCTAAATGAATTAGACTATGTGGGAGAAGTGTATTTTATTACAAAACAAATCACTGAACTGTCTGGCCTCCTTTCTCCCACTGAAAACTGTGAGAGTAATTACAACAGTTCACATACTGTACACTCTAGCTCCACTCAATGGTCAGCTACACATTTTCTATCCTCATCATCTTACTGTAAGAGGATTATACAGTACAGTATTGCAATATCCCATTCCTCAATATTATCTTACCAGTCTTTGTACAAGTTTCACTTTGTGGATACTGATTAGCTCACCAACAGACACAGGATGATTCTGTTACTTGAAAATTGAACAAGTGGGCAGAAATGTTTATAAAGCTTATGAACACAGCTGGTAGACATAAAGTACCTGAGTATGGGATAATGAATACTCACAACAGTGCCTGGGAAGTATCCTGCATGCACCACCCTGTTCTCCGTGTAGGATAAAACATGTATTATCTGGCCTGCTGCTTAGATAGTTGAGGAAAGGCAGTAAGGTGAAGTGCTCAGGTGCTTACATTTATAATAAGTCAAAAGCTCTTCTTGGAATACCTAAAGAAAGCTCATGCAATGGGTCATCTCTTAAAGAAAAAATCTTTATTTATTACCTTATTAGCATTTGCATTCTTTCTTTTTAAATAACTTTCATATTAAAGCAATAAAAAATCAGGTACCAGGTAAAAAGACCACCATAAGCTTCTAAATATGGCAGGATAATAAAATCTTCCTTCCATTTTCAATATAATAACAATCTGTTGATAAGTTGAAGTTGATCAGGTGAGAGCCAGCTGACTGACAATTCCCCTTACTGTCTGGATGAGATTCTGGTGTTGTTGTGGGTTGTTGACGATGAGTGAGTGAAGCTGTACCATGTAGCTGTCGATGCTCTCTTCTGTTGGCATCTCCTGGGATCCTTGATGGGTGAAGAAAACACATTTAGGGAATTTCTTTGCTTCTTCTAAAACTGAAATCTTAATGGTTCCATTTGTTACTGGGCATATTGTCACTATGCTGATCGTCTCTCTGACCTGTACAGTACAATACTAAACATCTTACAACACATCCACATAACCATTAATGACTGTTGCTTTACTGTCCAAATGATGACATGATCAATCAAAATTGTCCCAGGAAATTATTGACCAGCATTTACATCAAACTTTGTATTATCTAATTACCCTTTTTATTTACCCTCTGAACTCTTCCCGTAGGAGGCATCCAGACAGCATTCAACTTATTTGTTATTATCTTATTGTAGGTTCATTGAATATCCAGCACAGTACTGTATGCATATCTTCTTATACAACTGTAATGCTAAAAGTTAACAGTACTGTATTTAAATGGTCATTGGTGGTCAAATTATGTAATTATGTAATCAAGTAAAGTTAAGATTATTGCTATTATTTACTTCAATAGTATATATCAGAGACTCACTTCTCCATGAACCTGATAGACTACAATCAACTAAATAATGGAAGCAAAGTATTTCTAGATTCTGAACATTTTACATAATGCAAAATCTAAATGAGCCAAACAATTCATCAGGGCAGCCATGAGGATAAATTTCACATCTTCAGTCATTACCAACAATTACCCGGTATACAGTAATGTGTTATATCTCATGACAAATATACTGGGTCATTTTTCTATTCAGAACTCTAACTGATAACTATATTTTATAACGTGCAAGAAATATGAACCAAAAAATCAGTAGGAATAAATTCAGATAATAACAAGAACAGGATTTTACGTCCCTCTTTATTGCACGTCCTAAAATACAGAAATCATTTAGGGTTTTCAAATAAAGACAAATATGACTCTGTATTTACAATATTCTTAACTTATCCTCTCCAGAGATACCTTAAGACAGGACTGTTCTCTGGGAAACCAAATGCAGTAAATGAAAGATTTTGGGGAAGACTGTAAGGCCTATGTTTGAGAGGTGTAACACAATGCTTATTAGAAGAACTCTGTGGTATGTAGAGTTAATATTTTCATAAGATAATGGGATAAAATGAGGTGAGATGTTTGGTTGTATTGTCACCTTGGGACACTGGGTTATAAAAGAGTGGAGTGTATTTATTGGAGAGGGAATCACTTGAAAGTAAGAGAAAAATACATGAATTCACTTGAAAACAGATCATGTGAGGTATATGGAGTTGAGGAGGACAGATGAAGCAGCAGCTGAATACTTATGGAATATGTATGAATGGATACTGTACTGTACAGGTAGGTGGGTTACCTGTGATCACCTCAGGGGGTACTAACCCTGCCTGAGGTACTATGTAAGGAAGATTTTGTGTCACAGGGTGGAGACCTGTAAGGCTAACTATCCTGGTAAATACATTTGGTCTAGATTCAGAAAGATAAACGTTGTCAACAACTGTATGAAGTGAAATATGCAAGACATAATATAGACTTACTTATTTATTCAATAGCAAAAAAAATTATGATTCAGATAGTTCGTTCCAAGAATCCCTGATGTGTCATAAAAGGAGGCTGGACACTTAACTTTTTGTAGTAAACCAGCATGATAGGGGAGAGCCAGTCTGGGATATCTGCTCTCAATGGCATTTGGCTAGAAAAGGAATCATAAAAGGCAGATTGACCTCAACAAGATGACAGAGCCATACAGTATTTATGGCATAAAGGCGAGAGAGAAGGGCAACTATTTGACTCATATGGTCTAAAGGATCAACCCAGGTAGAGTAATGAGAAGCTGCCTGGCAAAGGACCTGGGCCAGAAAATATTCTCCCATCGTAACATCTCCACGTTCTTGTAAATTCATCACATGTTGGAAATCATATCTACTTATTTATATAAGTCCATACTGTACAGTATTTGGCCAAATTTTCTGTAATATGAAATTCTGAAGATAAAACATTGTTATACAGTATAGGAGATTATCTTACCAGGGAGAGGAAGAGTCATAAAAGCTTTAGTAAGGGTTCGTCTGAGGGTCTCAATGTGCTGCTGCAGTGCTGCATTATTGCTGCGCTGCTGGCTGGTCTCGGACTCCAGTCTGTCCACGGTACATCTGTAACATAACAGTCTCTGTTACAAGATGTACCTCAAATGATGTCAATACAAGATATTTTATATTGTTTTCAGAGTGATTATTAAGTGATCTAACTTTTAAGTGTGAACAAATTCAATACAGTATTTGATTTTCACCCACACAAAAATGAATCAAACATTAGCAATATTATTAAATCTTAATAATTCTTTAACTTATTCATGAAAATTTTTTGTTTTCTTTCTGCAGGAAATATTCACCAAACATTATTCAAACTAATGAATCTCTTTGATGCAGGTGAAAGACAACAAGAAGTAAAGAAATATAAAAACACTTGGACAGCTGTTCATGTAATTTAAAAAACTGATGGACAATGATAACTCAGCCATGTCAATAATGTTATTATTGTCCGCTCTGTATCTGTATTTTTCTGGCTAAATAAATTATTTCAATATCAGCATCAATAACATGTGATGAATATCGAAGTCTGGGACACAACACAGAAATAAAAAGTGCCAGTAAAATTTAAATAATCAAAAAAACTTATTTTTTCATCATGGTTACTAAACTCTTTAAAAAAATCTCACTTCTCAAACTTCATCAAAATATCATTATCACTGCACCTTAAATATTCTAATTTATACTCCTTAAGTCTATTCTCTACAAAACCTTATCGTAAGAGAACAAACCCACAACATATTTCCTTCCAACTCACTCTAGAAAACTCTCCTTGACTTCTTTCTTACTGCTACTGGGAACATTACATAACAACTACCACTTCTGAATTTACATATTTAAAAGCCTACATTCCTTTATATCATTCTTCTTTCATCTGAGCAAACATCACACTACTCACACTACTGCAAACAAAATTCTTTAAATATTTCTCAACTGTTTCTCACAATCTCAGCACGTCCAGGTCCCACTTTCTACAAGCATCTGACACAACAAATCTCGTATCAATATCTCTCATTCTTCTTATATTTCAGTCTACAGTTTGTATTACCTGTTCAGTTCTTTGAGTTTCTTAATCCTTTTAGCAGTGATGTAATAATTGAGGAAACAGGACCCCAATCCTCCCCTTTAATTGCCTTTTATAGTAAGCACGGTCCCGATTCTCACTGAGCTCCCGTGTAAAAATACCAAGAGATACTTACTTCATGCTCTCAATATGTTTCTGAAGTATAGCGTTTTGTTCTTCATAATCTGTGTTAGATTTGCGTAGCTGCCGTAACTCTGCTTCACGTGCTGGAAGGATACAAACTTAGTCCAGGAAAGAATCAATGTTCCCTTTTCAGTGGCATACATCCCTCTAAAAAATATACTATATTTCTCTCTAATGAATAAGAACATCCCCTAACCTTGAGGAGAATGAGTGAACATTGTACCTATAACTTGTCTAAAAGCAAAATATGGCCAGAGTTTGGGTATCATAAGGCAAATATTTTGACAATCTAATCATGTCACCTGGAAATGGAAATATAGAGGCTTGAATGATTTTACTTGTCTCTTATGTACAGTCAGGGGAAAAAAGTCCTGTCTGTCCTCCGTGAGCCCTGAGAGTCTTGAACCTGTGAGTCCGAGACGTGACACAATGTTGGGGCCATAGATGGTGTAATATGTGATGTCTTGGATTCACAGGTTCATGGAGGACAGACAAGACATTTTCCCCTGACTGTATGTAATTGTAACTTCACCCCCTTTATGCGTAATACAATCTTACCCACCTACTTCTTGAATGAAACAGATGTCAGTGTATGAATCTCTACACATACATACTACCGTACTACAGTACGTACCTCTGCCATGTTTAAAGTTTAACTCCACACTTTCTCACTTAAAACTATTTAAAAATACATTAACCCTTCAATTTACACAGGAGTTACATTATCAAAACCTCAATATAAAAAGTTCATGCATATTGATCTAAAGTTCATAAGGGAAATCATCCAGTTTTCAAACAATTTATACATCAGATGAATGACTCTACAGTAATTCAAAGTATCTCAACTTGCATTAGAGTGAGTCAAATTATTTTTCTTTCATAATACTTGAAGTGTGACAGAGAAACCATAAAACAGAACTCACATAAACTGAGCATTTACTGCACTAGTTCTAACATATTTATGCAGCCAATATATACTCAGATCCATAGCTTGTAAACAAACACTTAATTTTACTATTTGTATCCAGTATAAATTTTACGGACTATCTACACATTTATGTCTTGGGAGCATCAATCATCATCGCTTTGAGGAATCAACCATTTCCTCTCTAAGCATTACCAGTTACTGATCATTAGTGCATGTCCATCAGTTGTTGGTGGACAGCTCTCACAAAGTGTTTAAGTCAGTAGCATGATGGACCACAACAGCCTCCACACAGTATATGCCAGGGCTCTGCAGGGCATAAGCATCTGATGGTTTTATTACCTATCCTTGGTCAAACTGCCTTACTGTTTACCATATTTGTTAACTACACTATCTAGGTATATTGACAATTGTACACCTGCATAGTCATGTACACTGTATAACTGCACTGTCTACAGGCAGTACATATAAATTCTACATAATACATAATAGGTATCCCAGATCTACAGTACCTTTGTTGTGATTGAGGAACTCCTCGGTGAAGATTGGTATCTCCAAGGCAGAGTGGGGATTCATTGGTTCCTGTAAGAGAAAAAGTGAATTACTTCAACCTTTATAATAGTCTGTGTTGCTAACAGGAGAAGAAAGAGAAGAACGATGATAAACTGAAATATTATTGTGTGAGATAGTACCTGGGCTAAGCTAACCCTCCCTCTGGTATGGTAGACGGCAATTTTTAAAGTTATCTGAAATTGTGTCTTACTTTCTTTGGCTGTTGTAACAATAAAGTTTTATAATAGTAAAATCTCATCTCCTAAATGTGAAACTTCATTGGTTTACCTCATATACAAATTCTCAGAACATGACAAGAAGCTTCGACTCAAAAAAAACCTCAGCCTCAGTACCTCTGGGATTCATACCAATTTCATCAATGTTATGTGAACAAATGTACAGTACAGTATAACCTCCACATACACTCTTATAAATTCTACAGTTTCCACACACACACACGTTAGGGAACTCTGATAATGTGTAACTGATCTAACTATCTTCATTAAAAAAACATGTGGTCTATCATTTATCTAGTCAAATATTGTTCTGTATGCTGTTATTCATTCTACTTTATTCATTCTGTCTATAAATTCATTGTACTTTAACACCCCATTATTTTACTATCGTACTTGGGAGATTAAAAAACAAATTGTCGACCGTTCACACAAACTACCCGTACTTCCTCCATCCCTGATTGCTGTGAATACTGTATAACGCCTGCTAGGATATCCTCTTACCTCTTCCTCTTCTTCTTTTCTCTCCTCAACAATTTCCTTCCTGGGTTTCTTTGGGGGCGTTGGACTTTCCTCCTTCTGCTGCTTCTGCATAAACTTCTTATAGGCATCCGTCTTTTGATACTCCTCTAGTTCCTTCTGGTATCTGTGTGACCGAGAGAGTCATTGGGAAGAGTATTGTGGTAATGTGTGTACCTCTCACCAATATGTCAAGGGTTCAAATCCTGCTTGGTCCGGACACATGCGAGAAGGGTTTTAGCCAGCGTAATCCATCACAAACATCACAGACTTACTCCGGGGATTCTGGTTTCATCCTGTACCAACACTGAACAGATCAATCGCCCGAATGGCTAGTAAGTAAGAGGTCCTTGTAGGTCTATACTGGTCACCCGGAGTATGAATATAATTTGTCACCAAAGAAACAACTGGTCAGTCTGAATGCTTCATCTCTATGTGGATGTGGCAGCTGAATTACTGCTTCTGTACCACACTGAACCTGTCTTGATCCTGGCACAGATATTCACTGTATGAAGTTTAAGAAGATCAAACCAGATTGGTGAAGTTAACAAGAAATTGAAAAGAATATCATAAGTTCAAAGATGATTCAAGTCATTTATACCTTTATGTGCATACTTTGGGATTCAATGGTCTTCATGCCCGATAATTTTAATAAAAACTCACACACTGTATTGTACCTGTTAAAAAAATAAATATTACTCTGTAATCTTAAACTGGTACAGTACAAGGTTAGTACAGAATGAAATTGTGATGTTTGGTCGGGTCACAACGGATAATACCCTTTTCAAGTGTGTCTGGGATCGAACCCTTGATATGTTGGTGAGAAATCCATGCACCGTTAAAATGTTGAAAATTTGGTAATAAAATAAATAAAAATAAAAATAATAACAATAAAAAATTAGTAATAAAAAATCAAGAGTAATACTGTACAATACTTGACTAAAAACACATACCTCAAAAATGTAATCTTTGTGTTAGACATAACTTCTGATGTAGAGAAAAAAACTGCCTCTGTCCCAAGATTCAGAATAAATCATTCCCCACCCCCCCAAGGCTCATGCCATTTACCGTCACACCTACACTGTTTAAGGAGCAGCTTGTGGACATACAAACATGATAACTAATGTATAGCCATGACCAGAAGCCTCTCTTACTGCTCAACGAACCCCGAGATTCAGACTCGTGAACCTGAAGCAGTAGACACTGATGCATTATTCTGTCCCTAAATGCTTCAGGTTCACAAGTCTCATTTGCTGGGTTCACAGAGCAGCAACAGGACCTTTGTTCACTAATGCACATCACTATATTGTACTGTATCTTATCTTAACATGTTGTTTGTGCATCCTTTTTAAAACATATTATTTGTACCTAATTCACATAGATTTACATTTTACATCCGCTATAACCGACAGATTTCTGAGAGTTTTGTGAAAGTGACATATATACAATTACTCAAAACTATGGCATATACTGTAATCATGGTGTTGCTCTAAGACATATTATTAGATATGATGGCACCAATAATAAAATATGGGAGGTCTTTAAAAGTAACTTATCCATTTACAAAGTACACACACAAAAAAATCTACTCTTTAATGCAAGTGATTCCCATAGACCTCTGCCTATATAACAAGTAGTGTATATCTGAACTTATCATTACACATCACAAATTATACAAGTAAAACAGACCTTGATATAATGGCCTGTACTCTCCCACACAGTCCACTATATGGAGGTTTCACATATAACAAACCTCAATATAATGAACTAGACTCTTCCCACATAATCTCCTGTATTACAACCATTACCTTTCCTTATCTGCTTCAGCGGCCTCCAAGTACTTTGTTTTAGAGCTGGCGTCCAGTTGAGCCCACCGCTGAGCCACCAACTTTGTTATCTCGTGGAAGGCCAGACCAGCGTTAGTTTGACGGATGATTTCACGCTGATCGCTCATAAACAACATATAACCTGTGAAGAGAAATATAGTCACTATGAGATCTAACATAACTACATCCTTATGTGTCTATAGAGTATAATTACTGTTAACATTGTGTGTATACCTGTACAACAACTGTTTATAGCCAATAATTACAGTATGGTATAATTATGTTCTTACATACTGTATAATAATATCTGACTGTTGAGAATCTATACAAGTTCATAAGACAGTGTGACAAACTGTACAGTACTATATATCCACTCCACAGTGGCCTTCCAGTCATGTTATTACAGATGTACAAGTGGCTATGGTAGGAAAAGCTCTCCAATTATATACAGTAATTATGTGCTCATTTTTTCCACAAGTCAATGAGAATTTTATTATTACAGTACAGTACAGTACAGGGGAACAATGAAAATTCAGTAGTCCTTATTTCTGTGTACAGTACAGTACAGTATATGAGAATTGATGAAAAACTTAAAAATTTTAAAAATGTCAATGACTTTATAAGTAATGTACTGCACTATATTTATTTACAAACATAGTTGAACGTTTGTCTATATTTATTCATATATAGTATAGTAATCTCCCTGTCAGCTGGAATCTCCAGTCCCCCGTAACTGTCCAAAAGCCGGAATAAATTTTAAGCCTTCCGGAAAAATTCTCTCCAATCCAGACATGGGAACAAGTTTTCGGGGATGAAGTCATGCGCATTTTCTGGAAAAAATTATAGAAAATTTCTCCATTCTGGGCATGGGAACAAATTTTCCAGGAGCTCCGCGAGATTACATCATGCTCCGACGAGTGGGTGGGCTAGCTGCTTCAATTAATGTAGCAATATCTCTATTGAACTGATTATCATTATATTAAAATGGAACTTCAATCTGGACTTTCAGACTAAAGGTGATGACCCACCAGACAGCGGTCCTTTTGGGGCGTTAGAATCCTTTGGTAGGAGTCTTCTCTTACGACCCTTTGGCCATCCCTTCTTCTTAGGTGAATTGTCATTACTTGTTCCTGCTGTTCCTGTTGTCATTATGTGAACTTAGCCACTGAAAATAAATAAAATTTGAAGGACATGTACAATAAAGATGCACCTATAAACATTCCTATCCTCATGGAAAAGTTTATCTGGCATAGACTAAAAAACTAAAACATTTAAACATAACTACTTCTTCAATCTAACTGGACTTAAAAAATTAACATGAATTCTGAATCATTAGTTAGCACCAAGGAAGACTTTAGTAGACTCTAAGGTATTGTTACTAAAATATACTGAGATCCACTAAACTTCTGCAGTAAATAAATGCAATGATATAATCCTTTAACATAACAAAATATTTTCAGTATACATTTAGACCTACAGTATAACATAACTTTAACACTAAGATTATACAGAGTTGTTTCATGTCAAAGACCCAATGATAATGTTTACACTGAAGAGGGTAATTAGCCCATTAAAACCCCTGCAATATAAATAACTAATAAATAATCAATAATAAACATAATTAATGAATGGGACAATATTAAACATAACTAATACACGGGACATAATATTATGAATAATTAATATACAGGCGAATACTAAATGTACAGTAATTACTACAAAAGCAAATACTGTACTGAACATATTTAATTAACAATGAAATAATGTACAGTTGTGTATGACCCAAATAATCTAATAAACCTCACTTAATCTGTAGTCAAACATGCCACGGTTCTTGATAATTACTACTGGAATAACACCACTTTAGTTACCACAGATAATTCTCATGACTTCCTTCAAACTGGGAATGAGGAAACATTTTAGCTGTCATTCCTAGTTACTTTTAAGGTTCATAATCACCATAAGCTCACACTGTACTGATGGTAATTAGCACTTTCATCATACTACACAACAATGATTATATAATATGTAAGAATGTGATAACTTACATCATTGCACCAAAATCTTATATAATTATTAAACCTTAAAGTATCCACATAAAGCATACATTTGTTGACTCAGGTTAATTATTATACAAATAATACATTAACCCGGATAATAATAAATTTGTATCATTATATGTATCAGTATTACATAGTGGCATTGACCTTTGTGAGGGATATTGTACTATGAGTTAATGTTCTATTACTGTATAAATACCTAACATTCCTTACCCTCCCTCACCCTTATCAATGAGTAAAACACATTCCTAACTAGTTAACTATCAATTATGTGTTTCAACAAGAATATTATAATTCTTAAGAGATAAACATTCTTTCTCAGTGATAATTTGTACTATATGATTAAGCCATGTAATACTCATTTACATTAATATAGGTACATGAAGTGTATTATAAAACTTACTGATGATAAATTAGTGATTAATATCTTATGTTTTTGTCTAATTTCCCCTAAAAACCCTAATAAACAGATGAGCAACAGAGGACTACCACACCACTCATTCCTTACCACACACTCCTAACTACACCTTAATTTAATATCCTCACATAATACACTCAAACAGTTTCCTTATGACAAAGATATATAACCAAAGAAAAAAAAATAGGTTATTATATAAGACAGAGAGTAAATAGTTAAGTGGTGTGACAGTAGAGGAACTCAATAGGAGGAATTTGTTTTACTATTATTTCATAAACTATATTATTTAAAACATTAAGAACCATTTGAGGTTATCTATAAACATGATTTCTATCGAGCTGAAATGATTAATAGATATAATTAACAGTAATAAATGGGTTAATAAGGGAAATATTCCTCACCTCTCACAAAGGCTCTTAAGGGGATGGTAGATGTTCCAGCACTGTAAGGTTGCTTCATAACCAGTAGTACCACTTTAAACACCTATACAGTTTATTGTGAGACATAATTATTCATATAAAAGTTACGTATTTTTAACTTAAGACAAAATCAAATATCTAAAAAAATAATTATAAATACACAGGTACACAGAATAAAGTCTTTTAAAAAAATCGCAAATACTTCCTCCACAGTCTGTCGCGCTTTTACCACATACCACAGTGTATAAGGCGTGTGGGGCCAGCACTCTAAGGCACATGATGATGTTACTTAAAAGTTAATAATCATTCAATTATTTTCGAGTAAAAAATGGAGGAAACAGTGGATATAAAACGTAACGTGAGCAGCAAGTTGCCAAAGGCTGACGTTTCTGGGATGACATTATTATTACCATAATTGATACAATAATGATTTTTTTTTACTTTATAATTAAGGATCGGGAAGTATACTTGTACAACCTTTTAGTTTGCAATAAATGGTTTTGGATAGATTATGACAAAACTGGTATTTAAAAATTAAGAAGCAGTAAATAACCAGGAGAATCAGAGCTAGACACAACAGGTATAAGTCCATGGCGTCACCACCACCATTATCAATGAACAACTGTCTCATTTTATTAATTTCGTGCAAAAACTTCTGTTATAAATAATCATATTAAGGTTTAGACTTAATATAGATTCTAAAATAAAATGAATTAAAATGAATATAATCATGTAATCTAATAATAGTGAAGTACATTAAAACAAACGTTGTAAATGAAGGGGACATCCACCTCCATTCTGATTCTTTACTTTACTTTTTACTTTAATCATCCTAAGGCTTATACAGTACTATAAATTATCTGCACTTGGCATAGTATCTTATACAGTAGTTACATAAGAATCCGGTAAAAAAAACATACGTATAACTAGGGATAATTTATAATACAGTTAATGCAATAGGTATTCTAGGGTTCAACTAATACAGTACCATATTTCCCTACCCACTAGAATCTTCTTTTAGGTGACTTAACACTTAGAAAAGTTATATAACGTTTCTCTACACACTTAGATTTAGTTTCCTATTTTACAGTCGGGGTCAGGACTCAGGACTCATGGGGAACTGACCGAAGCTGTACTCAGGGGCGGTAAATCCCCAACAGATCAAATGAAGAATCTCCACCCTGATTCCTTTCACTTAAATAATATTTAACCACTCTAACGCTATTTGGAGGGGTTAAGTTAGGTTGGGTTAGATTAGGTTAGCGTTAGGGACACAGGGTGGTTAATCTGGAGGTGAAAATTAATAAGCTTGGGTGGGTATTCTTCCCTCAGAGCGACCTCCACCTGAAGTCGGTAAATAGAAAATGGGAAATGTTAATGGGTAACTTTACCAACATGTGAACAGTTGAGGGAAATCGATAAATACGTTGATATTGGGGGAGTTTTGATGGTGGTTGATAAGAACTGAACTCTGCTGTTTTGTTTATTAATCCCTATCAAACCTGAAAATACAACATATACTTACAGTTAATAGATAATAATACCGCAACTACAGAAAATATAGCCAGTGAAAAAACTGAATGGTTCTCGTCTGTTCTCTGATACTGATACCAAATCTATATGAACTAATTGATTACACCCCTTCATCTTATTGACTGTAAGTGTTGCCAAACACTTAAAAAATCTGAGGTGATAATTATAAATTAATTACTAATGACTTTAGTTCCTCACAGAGACCTGGGATGATAACTAATTGTGTCAGGTAATACCCTACGTGTTTGTATAATCTTATTTCCTTCATTAATGGTAAAAGTGCTGTTATTGGACGGACAACATTCACGTGTGTAACAACTGAGAGAACAAGAAATTTTCACTTTCACATTTTTTTCCACCTAGATGGACTACAGCTGAAAAACACAGCCAAAGAATGTGATATTGTCAGAACATAATGCTGCCGTGTGAACTCTCATGATATTACTTAGTCGAGTGTTCTTACTTGGAGCTGGTGGACGCCCTCCCCACTAGAGGTCACAACGTAAGGTAGAAGTCACAAGTCCAGAAAATTGTGAGGAGTGAGAATTGTGAACTCTTGGTACAATCTATCAGAGTGTGTTGTGACGGCACCGAGTATGAGCTGTTTCAAGACCAGACTTGACCACTATTAGAGCAGGTTCCGATATATTCAAGAGCCAGTACATTCCCAGTACAACAGTGTGTAACAGAGACGTGACCGACCGTCCAAGAGGATAAAGTAATAAAATAAAGTACTGTTTGTCTGGAAACCTTTTTACCTTTCCTGACACGATGGAACCATTGCGGTATTCTTAACCTCGAGAGTCATTCAGAGGAATTTTATGGTGTTCTAAATACTGGGCGGATTCAGGCACTAATCAATCATGGAGGAGTTAGCGGGTGGGGTGGGTGGGGAAGGGCTTTTTAAAGCACTTTGAGGTAATTTAGGTTAATTTCATGATGATTATATTGTAAACCCAAGAGTAAGCAGGAGATCGATGCTCCCACGGGTCCTATATGAAAAGTGTAATGATATGAGGAATAATTTGTATATGGGACCAAGATAAGTGTTATAGCAGGGTGTCCCAGAAAGAGTTCTGTCTCCTCCAACTCACAGGCCCTGGGGAGCAGGGAGGGAGGGAGGCAGGAGCAGGCAGGGGAGGGGGAGGCAGGGAGAGAGAGGCAGGGAGGCAGGGGAGAGAAGGGCAGGGAGCAGGTAGGGGAGGGGGGAGGCAGGGAGAGAGAGAGGTAGGGAGGCAGGGGAGAGAGAGGGACAGAGCAGGCAGGGGAGGGGGGAGGCAGGGAGAGAGAGAGGCAGGGAGGGCAGGGAGAGAGGGGGTAGGGAGCAGGCAGGGGAGGGGAGGGGAGAGAGGGGCAGGGAGCAGGCAGGGGAGGGGAGGCAGGGAGAGAGAGAGGCAGGGGAGGCAGGGAGAGAGAGGGGCAGGGAGCAGGCAGGGGAGGGGGAGGCAGGGAGAGAGAGAGGCAGGGAGGCAGGGGAGAGAGGCAGGGAGGCAGGGAGAGAGGGGCAGGGAGCAGGCAGGGAGGGGGAGGCAGGAAGAGAGAGAGGCAGGGAGGCAGGGAGAGAGAAGGCAGGGAGCAGGTAGGGAGGGGGGAGGCAGGGAGAGAGAGGCAGGGGAGGCAGGGAGAGAGAGGGCAGGGACAGGCAGGGGAGGGGGAGGCAGGGAGAGAGAGAGGCAGGGAGGCAGGGAGAGAGAGGGACAGGGAGCAGGCAGGGAGGGAGGGAGGCAGGGATAATTTTCTGGCACACCCTATACATGTGTTCTGCCAATAAGAGAATTGAGTAATATTTAATCATTAACAAGTTTCACATCTCACTGTGACTTAGAAGGTGATGAAAAATATGTTAATATGTCCATGTTAATGTACCAGTCATTAACAAGAGTCACAGAGAATCAGTTAAATTTAACATTAAAATCCATCAGTGGAGGAACACCTAACCTAACCTAACCTAACCTAACCTAACCTAACCTAACCTAACCTAACCTAACCCAACCTAACCTGACCTAACCTAACCTAACCTAACCTAACCTAACCTAACCTAACCTGACCTAACAGAACCTAACCTGACCTAACAGAACCTAAACTAATTATGATATTTATACTTTTAAGGGATTTATTTGCATGCATAATTATTATATAAGCATCACTGGTCATTTATCATCAAGTGTTAAGAAGGAGGGAAGGAAGGAAGGAAGGAAGGAAGGAAGGAGGGAAGGAAGGAAGGAGGAGGAAGGAAGGAAGGAAGGAAGGAAGGAAGGAAGGAAGGAAGGAGAGGAAGGAGGGAGGGAAGGAAGGAGGGAGAGGGAGGAAGGAAGGAAGGAAGGAAGGAAGGAAGGAAGGAAGGAAGGAAGAAGGAAGGAAGGAAGGAAGGAGGGAAGGAAGGAGGGAGGAGGGAGGAGGGAAGGAAGGAAGGAAGAAAGGAAGAAGGAAGGAAGGAAGGAGGAGGAAAGGAAGGAGGGAGGGAAGGAGGGAAGGAAGGAAGGAAGGAAGGAAGGAAGGAAGGAAGGAAGGGCCATTGGGTAGTACTAATGCAGACAATCTACTAAACGTCTGGATAAAGTTTAAGTTTTTCCTGTCATTTTCATACACATAAAACAGTTCTTTATAACACTAAGTCTATCAAAAGTGTTGCATGAAAAACATTACAATTTTAAGTCGTATTTTTAAGGCATTTCATAAAATCCTAAAAGCTTAAATTTCAAAATCAACAAAGAATTTATATTTTGTCAGCTTATGTTTCAAGTGAGTGATTACTGAGCCAAATATGTTGATAACGCTGGACAGTACAGGTCGTCACAAAGGACACGACTTGTAAGCTAATTAGTGATAGAAATAATGAATAAGAGTGACTGTTATGTTAACTTCAAACACTTGAACTCAACCTTATACAAATCTCAAGAATATTTTGTATAATTTCATGAGATCAAAGTTGGTATAATTCTAAATTATTATCCACCTTGGTTATACACGTGTCCTTTACATACACTTTCACAGTCTCCAAAAAGTGTTGTACTAAGTGTTAAAACTAATGGTGTCTGGAATATACAGTCAACCACTAGCGCAACCAGAGGGTGGCGCCCCCTTAAGCCCACGGTCCCTTAACAGTCCGTGGTCAGACGCTGGAACTCCGATTATTTGCCGAATTTTTTGCTGGTTTTTATACTGTATTAAACAATTTATTAAGTCTCAGCTTTCACCAAATTGCTTAAAAATCCCGCTAGCTCTGCCTTTGGCCACGCAATTTCACTCCCTCCTTGACGAATTTCTGGGTGCGCTACTGGCGTCAACATCAATTCAAGTCAATTTCAATTGTTTATTCCTTGATAGAGGAAGCGGATCCTAGTGCTGTCACTAGGTACCCCTGTCTAATGACACCAGAAGCATCTGGCAAGTGTGACAAGTATATACAGTATAAATATTATAAAGGGGCTTACTAAAGCCTAAGGAAGGAAGGATATTCCTTTAACACATAATCAATATTATTTACAAAATATCTGGCCAGTATGGGAGGATCATCGTGTCTCCGTCAGGGTCGTGAGTGGTGGTCAGCAGGCGTCACGGAA